TACTGGAATTCTCTCTTTTATTCTCTTTCCCGAATTCATGTTGGAAAGCATTTCTCTTTATGTTTGCTCCCACAATTTCTTCAAATTCTTCTCTCTTTAATTTTTTTCTAAATTTCTTTAATAGATGGTGTTTCATTCACAATTTCGTTAATTCTTGTGGGATTTTCATTAACACCAAAAACTTAAGTACACTTGATTTGCAACTATTTGAGAAGATTTCAAGGGCTGGTACAAGCCCAACAATTTCAATCTCTTTTTAACTTTCTCTGGAAAACTTGAAAGTTGCGTTAGATTAATAGCCTCAAATAAAAGAAAGAAAAGGAGAATGAAAAGAATGCACTGAAACTTAGGAAGGGTTTGAAAACATCTTCTTCATTTTCACTTTCTTAGATTAGAATTGTTTCCTCGAATTTCTTGGGGAGTGGGGTTCAAACAAAGCAAGGATTTCCTGCAAAAATTCAGTAGGATAAAGAAAACTACTTAAAGAGAAAGGAATCAAGGAAAGAGAAAGAAAGAAAAAAAAATCACAGTAACGATGTGGGGGGATGAAATGGGAGAATCGGAGAAGACGACGAAAGCAAAAAAATCAAAGGAAGAGGGTAAAATGGTCAAATAAGTTAACATGATATGGGAATATGGGATTAACAAATTAAGGTGTGGCAACAATTCTCCCCATATTAATACTATATCATAATTATAAGGTTTAATTTTATATAATATTGTAACTATAGCATTGCCATTTCAATCATATATAAACAATTGATCAACTAATTTAAACAATCTTTAAATTTTACTGTTTTCATCACAAAATATTTTCTCTTTTTTTTACTGATTTATATATTAAAGGATATCTTTTTCCATACCAAAGAACTAAAGAATATGAAAAAGAAAGGATATATAATTTAGTGTTTATAAATCAAAATCATTTTTTTTTATCTGAATTTCCTCATATTATTCCATTCCACTAGAAAACTACAGATAGAAGACAAACATAAGCCTCATAAGCCTAAACTCTTTCTTGAAGTATAATATCCACAATATGTGGAGGAATCTCCTCGATCCACATCTTTTCCACCGCTTCCACCGCCCCATCGAAAACCCACCTTGCTAACTCTTGCGCTGCCTTGTTACTCTCACGGTAGACCTGCTGCAGTTGGCACAGTGCTGAACCACCATCCCCAACTCTGAGTATACCGCTGCACCCGCTTTTCCCACCGCTGCAACAACATTGCTACTGTCACACTCCACCACCAGCCTATTGAAACGCAACTCAAACGCCCACATTAGGCCCCTCCGCAAGCTAATTCTACCACCTCAGGAGAAAGATACCCATGCCCCCTCGCTTGCAAAGCTGCCATAACATTCCCGCTCTCATCTCTTATTATTGCCCCTATTCCAAAAATCCGTTGTTGCTCAGAAATTGCTCCATCCACATTAAGTTTAAACAAAGGAGCAGCTGGTGGAAACCATCTAACACAATCCCTTCGGCCCCCATGCTCATTTGGTAGATCTTGGGCCCGCTTAAACTCCCTCCTGTAACACATAGCATGCTCTATAATCTGCACTGGGTCCCTACCTTTATCACTCTACACGATCTCATTCCTGTTATGCCATAATAACCAGCACAGATAACAGAAAAGCTCCAATTGCCCCCGTGAAACCTTTTTTATCAATTAAATAAAGATTCAGACTCTTTTATCAATTAAAGTTTGTGTCAATCAAATCACTTTCTAAAATAGATAACGAAAATCAGTTAAACCAATGAAACCATCAAAATCATGAACTAAAAGTCAAAACAATTTGATTTTCGGTTCGGTTTTGAAAACAATGAAAATAGATGCCAAAAATTTAAAAATAAAATCTTAAAACAATTTGAAAACTTAAAGAGAGAAAGTTTTTGGGTTTAGATTTAATAAACAGTTTCAATTTTTAATTTATTCAATATGTAAAAAATTCATTTATTTAGATTATAATATTCTCATTTTTTGTAAAAAAGGCTTTTTTTATAGATGAAGAAAAGCAAATTATAAAAAATGAAATACATGGGTTTTGCAAAAAGATTTAATTAAAGGAAAATAATTTGTACATCCTTTGGTTTAACATATTTAACAACACTCACATGTTCAGTTATTAAAATTTGCTTTTAAAAATTTTCCCGCCTTGAATTCAAATTTGAAAATATTAGTCTTTTAATCATATTTAGCAACACTCACATGTTCAATTATTAAAATTTACTTTTAAAAATTTTCCCGTCTTGAATTCAAATTTGAAAATATTAATCTTTTAATGATTGAATCAGTCAATATTGTTAGGTGTATTGAACTGAAAGGTATATCAACCATTATCTTTAATTAAATTCTAATATTATCTTCATATTTGAAATAATGATTATATTAAAATATAATAAACTATATTAATCTTTTTTGAAAAGTAAAATATATTAAATTATTTTTAAGTACAAGGAGTAGTTAACCCATATACAATAGGCAAAACATGCAGAATAGCCCCTCAATTTGTCATGCAGTGGCAGATCAACCCCTCAAGTCAGTTCACGCGTAAAAGAACCCCTCAACTCGTC